TGTTGTTTATTCTTTTTTCTCCAGAGATGGAACTCAGGACCTTGCGCCTGAGCTAAATCCCCAGCCCAGTGACAGTTTTTAAAAGGCTGGTTTTTGTGGGGTTTGTTTTGGAGACAAAGTCTAACTGTGTAATTCAAGCTGGTTTGAACTCACTGTGTATCCCAGGCTGGCCTCCTTCCTCCCTGGGCTTCCCAGGGGCTGAGGTTACAGGCATGCACTGCTATGTGTGACAAAATGCTGAGGGTTTGTTTGTTGTTGTTTAAATTTTATCCCATTGCCCCCCCCAAGCTCCCTTCTCTCCTTGTATACAAAAGCTTTGTTTCCACTTTTTCCTTTCTCTGTTTTTTATTTGTTTGTTTGTTTGGTTTTTGGTACTGGGGATGGAACTCAGGACCTTGCACTTGCAAGGTAGGAGCAGTGCCACTGAGCTATCCCTAGCCTGCCCTCTCCCCCCTTTGTCATTTGGGTTTTTTGTTTTGGGGTTTTTTTTTTTTTTTGGTACTGGGGATTGATCAATTCAGGACCTGTAAGGCAGGCGGCAGCACCACTGAGCTAAATCCCTGGCCCTGTTTTCTGTTTTTGTTTTTGTTTTTTTTGAGACAGGGTCTTGCTGTGTACCTCAGGTTGGCCTTGAACTCAAGGATTCTCCTTCCACAGCCTCCCAAGTGCTGGGATTACAGGCATGCACCACCATGCCTAGTTTAAAATGCTATTTTAACAAGGAGATGAGGGGAAATAACTCACTAAGTACTGGTGAGAGTGTAAAATTGGACAAACATTTTGAAGGACCATTTGCAATATAAGCCTTAATTAAAGTTCTAAAACCTTGATGTATGGTATCATTTGAAGGAGTTTATCCCAATGAAATAAATTTTTAAAAATTAATAGATGAGAACAGAAACATTCACAATAGCATTGTTTCCTCTCTCTTTTTACTTTTTTTTTCTTTTTCTTTTTTTTTTTTTTTTTTTTTTTTTTTTTTTTTTTTTTTTTTTTTTGATATCAGTGATCGAACTCAGGACCTTACACTTGTGAAGCAAGTGGCAGAACTACTGAGCTAAATCCTGGCCCAGCGTTGTTTTTTTACAGCCATTAAAAATCATGTTCTTGGCTAGGGATAGAGTTCAGTGTTAAAATGTTCAAGCATATGCTTGGCACATCCAAGGCTCTGGACTCAGTCTTTATCATATATACACAAAAAGTCATGTTATTGAAGTATATTAGGAAAAAAAAAAGATAAAACAGAATAATAACCCAGCTATAAAAGATGTATGGGGCTGGGGAGTTAGCTCAGTGGTGCCACTGTCTGCCTTGCAAGCATAAGAGAACCTGAGTTCAATCCCTGGTACCCCCAAAAAAGGATGTATGTATCAGAGTTGGGGATACAACTTAGTGGTAGGGTGCTTACCTAGCATGTGTGACACTCTGGGTTCAAACCTTTATCCTACCTCCAAAATTAAAAAAAAATTGTTATGTATTTAATACATATATGGTAGGTTTTAAACTAAAATGCTGAGTTCTGTGGCATTGATTAAAAATAAAATTTAGGGGCCAGGGATTTAGCTCAGTGGTTCTGCCATCTGCCTGGCAAGTGCAAGGTCCCAAGTTGGATCCCTGGTATGGGGGGGGGCTTATTTATTTATTTTTGTGCTGGGGATTCAACTTGCACTTGCCAGGCAGGCACAGCACCACTAAGCTATATCCTCAGTCCTGAAAATTCTTGTTTTGGCAGTATTACTCAGAAAATTTGTGTGTAGGGGGTTGTGTTTGTTTTTCACTTGTGCTGGGATTGAACCCAGGACATTTTAGCAATAAGCTACATCCCTAGCCTTTTTTTTTTTTTTTTTTTTTTTTTTTTTTTTTTTTTTTTTATCCCTTCGTTTTTTTTTTTTTTTTTTTTTTTTTTTTTTTTTTTTTGAGGTAGCTTCCTAAATTTCCCAGGCTGGCTTTGGACAATTAATCTTTTGTTTGTTTTTATTTTTTTGAGTCAGGGTCTCACTATGCAATTCAGGCTGGCCTTGAATTTACAGTGATCTCCTGCCTCAGCCTCCTAAATGCTGGGATTACAGGTGTGTGCCATCATGCCGGGCTGGACATTTAATCTTGTTTCAGCCTCCCAATAAGTTAGGATTATAGGTCTGAGTCAGTGTTCCACCTTGCCACTACACCTGCTTTAGAAACTTTATTCTTATTTGAAGTGATATGTATTCATTTATCATCCTAAGGCTACACACATATTCATATCCTAATGAAATATTTTTTCTTTTTTTTGAGATAGTCTCACTATGTACTTTAGGCTGGTCTTGAACTCACTTCACTATGTGGCCCAGGCTGGCCTTGAATTTGGAATGATTCTCTTGCATCAGTCTCCTGAGTGCTCGGTTTATGGATATGCACCACCCCATGTGTCTCTTAATGAATTTTAAGTTTTCTACTGTGTCCTTCCTCTTGGATTCTGTGTTATCAGAGGTTGAATATTTTAACCTTTCTTTATTTTCCCAAGCACCCATCCCAATTCATCTTTTTTTTTTCCCCCTGTTTTTCCCTTGTTTGGGTTTTTCGTTTTTCTTTTTGAGACACGATTTTGCTCTTTAGCCCAGGCTGCCCTCAGACTTGTAGTACTCCTGCCTTAGCCTCACACTAAGTGCTGTCATGAAACTGTTTGCCTCATGGGGAACAACAGTCTGGTTTCCATGTTTTAAATGATCTTAAAATTGATTTTGTTCTTTGAGACAGGATCTCTCTCAGGCTGGTCTAGCTCAGGCTGGTCCTCAACTCACTATGTAGCACAAAACACAGGCTGGCCTCGAACTTGCAGTAATCCTCCTTGCCTCAGCCTCCCAAGTATTGGTTTTACAGGAATGTACTACCATGCCTAGTTTAAAATTGATTTCTTTTTTCCCATAACGGGGGTTGAACTCAGGACCTTGCGCAGTGCCAGTGAGCTAAATCCCTAGCTAAAATTGTTTTTTTGTTTGTTTGTTTGTTTTTTTGAGACAGGGTCTCACTCGCAGTTGAGACTGACCAGGAACTCACCTTGTAGCCCAGGCTGGTCTCAAACTCACAGCAACCTTCCTGCCTCAGCCTCCTGAGTTTAAAATTGATTTTTAACCGGGCGTGGTGGCGCACACCTGTAATCCCAGCATTTGGGAGGCTGAGGAGGATTGTTGTGAGTTTGAGACCACCCTGGGCTACATGGTGAGTTCAGGCCAGTCTCATCTACATAGTGAGACCCTGTCTCAAAAAACCAAAATAAATAAATAAATAAATAAATAAAATAAAATTGATTTTTTTAAAGCCAGTGTGTACAGCACTCTTGAGACTGTGACAGTATTGCAAATCAGCCCAACCTAGACAATTATTGAGTGACTTAGTGATACCCTGCCTCAAAAAGAGATAGGGATGCAGCTCAGTGCAAAGTCCCTCAATTCAATCCTTAATATTGCACTCAATCAGATTTTTGTTTGTTTGTTTTGTTTTGTTTGTTTTTTGAGACAGGGTCTCACTGTATAGTTGAGACTGACCTGGAACTCACTATGTAGCTCAGGCTGGTCTGAACTCACAGCGATCCTCCTGCCCCAGCCTCCCGAGTGCTGGGATTATAGGCATGCGCCACCACACCTGGCTGGGTCCTTGTGCTTTCGAGGCAGGTGGCGGAACCACTGAGCTAAATCCCTGGTCCAAAAATTAATTTTTTTTAACAGGCTCTGGAGTGAGTTTGGGCCAAGTGAAAGTAGGAAAAGAAGTACACCCTACACCCATGACAGTGGGCCACCATGCAAGAGAGAATACAGTGGCCTTTTTTTCGTTTTTGTTTTTTTTGAGAACTATGTAGTTCAGGCTGGTCTTGAACCCACTTTGTAGCCCAGGCTGGCTTCACAATCTTGGTCGTCCCCCTGCCTCAGCCTCTCAAGTTGTGGGATTACAAACATGTGCCCCCACACCCTGCTTCTTCAGGTATTAATTTTTTTAATCTTTGTGTGTGTGTGTGTGTGTAGGTCAGGGGGGACCGGGGATCAAACTGAGGGTCCTTGCACTTGCAAGACAGACACCGGAACCACTGAGCTAAATCCCTGGTCCATGGTATTAATTTTTTTAAAAAAGAGGTCTTTGGCCGGGGATTTAGCTCAGCAGTTCGGTGGCCTGCCTTGCAAGCGCAAGGACCCGAGTTCAATCCCCGGTACAAAAAAACAGAAACAGGTCTTCTGTATCAGCTTCCCTAAAATCTAGTATTACAGGTATATGCCACTACACCTAGCATCAGTTAGCTTCTTAGTTTTTCTTTCTCATTTTGTTGGCTTTTCTAAATTTTTTTAGTTATCAGTCAACAATCAGATTTTTTAAAAATGTTTTTTCTTCTTTGGAATTGTACATTCTAGAAGTAAAGGAAATGATTATATGAACTCAGTGTAGATACCATGCTTTCCCCACCTCTTCCTGGAACAGATGCTGGGACCTATGAAACAGGAGAGCTTGCTGACTTTCCTGAGGTTGAAAAGAAGATTGCAACAAAACTGAATCTGATGCTACTCTTAAGTGGAGTAGCAACAGAGCATAGTGAGAGAATGAACGAAAAACTTGTGTGTCATGCGGTCTTGACCTAGTGTGAAAGCATACCCGGGTAGGCCAGGTTTGTTATGTCCTCTCTTCTTCTCTGGGATCAGTGGTGATAGACATTTTTCTTCCCAGGGATGTTTCATTTTCTAAGTGTGATGTTGGTTTGCTCTAAAGAGAAGGGTTTTTTTGTTGTTGTTGTTTTTATTTTTGTTTTTTGGGGTATTGTTTTTTGTTTGTTTGTTTGTTTTGGTATCAGGGATTGAATTCAGGTCTTTGTGCTTACAATGCAGGTGGTGGCACCACTGAGCTAAACCCCAAGCCCCAAAGGGGATCTTTTTTCAAGATTAAATATTGATTAAACTTGTATGGGAAAATGCTTAAAATTTGCGTTTCATTTCTAGTATAGCACATCTTTAAATAACACTTTACTCTGTTTTTTCTAGGAGTGAACCCCTCCAGACTCCGAATAGGAGATCAAGAGTTTGATTCTTTGCCTGCTTTACTGGAATTCTACAAAATTCACTATTTGGACACTACAACATTGATAGAACCGGTTTCCAGATCCAGGCAGAGTAGTGGAGTGATTCTCAGGCAGGAAGAGGCAGAGTATGTGCGAGCCCTCTTTGACTTTAATGGGAATGATGAAGAAGATCTTCCCTTTAAGAAAGGAGACATCCTGAGAATCCGGGATAAACCTGAAGAGCAGTGGTGGAATGCAGAGGACAGCGAAGGCAAGAGGGGGATGATTCCAGTCCCTTACGTGGAGAAGTATAGACCTTCCTCCGCCTCAGTATCGGCTCTGATTGGAGGTAACCAGGAGGGTTCCCACCCACAACCACTGGGTGGGCCGGAGCCTGGGCCCTATGCCCAACCCAGCGTCAACACTCCGCTCCCTAACCTCCAGAATGGGCCCATTTATGCCAGGGTAATCCAGAAGCGAGTCCCTAATGCCTACGACAAGACAGCCTTGGCTTTGGAGGTACATAATGTGTAAAATGTAGAAAGAAGAGATCTGCTACAGGGTCTCCCTTTCAGACCTCTTAGAGATTTGTAGAAATGCTGAATACAGCACCAGCATTTTGATGTTGTAAATGTCAAACTATTAAGTACTGATTTTGGCATTAATATTGGTTTTCTCTTTATAGAAAACCTATTTTGCAATGAGTAAACTTAAAACTGTATAACTGAATGTTCTGATTGATCTGCTAAACTTTTGCGGGGGGGCTTTGTCAAAAAAAAATCAGCTTCACTTGGGATGGGCTAATGAACTCTTCTCTCACTGAAACTAAACATAGTTTGACTACTAACACCATCTAGATTTATAGAAATTAACCTAAAATATTTTTACTCATCTATATTCTAATCTCTTTCTTTGCTGTTTGTCATTGTCTAAAACAAGGTTCGTTCACACAGATTTGACTATAAGTAACCTCTAGCACAGTACTTAACTGAAAGCAAACTGTTTACTTTAGGGGATATGAGGTTCCTTAGTATTAATTGTGTTTTGTCAGGAATGAGAGGGGCTAGGGATGGAGTGCGGTGGTGGAATGCTTACTTGCATGCACAAGATGTTGGGATTCATTTTCAGCACTGCAGAAAGAAAAAAATTGGAAACAGTGAAATATAATACAGATATAAAGAGATCCAGACTTCATACCTGAAAGTCTTCATTCCAAGAAGTACCAGATTTACTTGGTTTTTGTTGTTTAATTTATAGGCAAGAAGTCAGTTCTAAGGAATTAATTTTTGCCTTTTATCTGTAGTTGGTGGCCCATCTCCTTCTGAGCAGCCATTTCTCCAGCACTCGAAGCTTTGCCTCTTGTCTGTTTAATTTTCTTCATTCTCCTCCTCCCTTCCTTTCTGAGTTATGCAGAGCTAGTAGTTTAGCCTAAAGCTGCTACAGAAATTACATGCTATCCCCTGTTTCAGAACCTACTAGTATAATGACTGGAATATAGGCAGATGACTTCATAGGCACAGGTTAAAATTACATGAGCAAAAAATACCAGCGAAAAATGCAAAGTGTTGATGTTTTCTCTGTTTTCTTCTTTGGATCAAGTTGCTGTAGTGAGGAGTAGGAACTGTTCTGTGCTTAAGTGTGAGTGTTAGTCCACACAATGAGTTTGGATTTATTTGAATTGCTTTTGAATATTACTGGGTTTTTGTTTTAGTTTGTAAGCTACTAGATACACAAGAGACTTAGTAGAATTTGCTAGGTTTGACTGAAAAAAATGTGTGGCTTTTCTTTCTTTTTTTTCCAGTACTGGGGATTGAACTCATGACCTTGCCCTTACCAGACAGGTGCAGTACAGCTGCATCCCTCAAGCCCAAAAGTGTGCTTTTAAAGTTTGTTTTGATTTTTGTTTGTTTATTCATTTTGCTTTGCTTTGCTTTGAAATGGGGTCTCGCTATATAGTTCAGTCTGGCTTTGAACTCACTTTCTAGCCCAGGCTGGCCCCAAACTCATAGCAATCCTCTTGCCTCAGCCTTCTGGGTGCTGGGATTATAGGCACATACAACCATGTCTGGCAGTTTGTGTATTTTGAAATCATGTTTGTGTTTTAAAAGTGTCTCTGGCCAGGTGTGGTAGCCTCCCACAGTAATGGGATTACACAGGCATTTGCCACCTTTTCTACTGCTGGCATTATAGGTGTGTGTGCCACCACTCCCAGCTCAAAGTAGCTCTTACTAACAGTGTTATATATCTGGGCTCTCCGTAAAATGCTCTTTGAAGAAAGGGTTTCTGTGCTTTAAAAAATAAATTACGGTCGGGCGTGGTGGCGCACGCCTGTAATCCTGGCACTCGGGAGGCTGAGGCAGGAGGATCACTGTGAGTTCGAGACCAGCTTGGACTGCATAGTGAGTTCCAGGTCAGTCTCATGTACATAGTGAGACCCTGTCTCAACCCCACCCCCCAAAAAAAAGATTAAAAAACGTTAAAAAAAAATAAAATAAATTATGGGCTGGGGACTTAGCTCAATGTCGCCATGTCTGCCTGGTAAGCACAAGGTCCTGAGTTTGAATCCCATATGAGGTAGAGGGACAGCATTCAAGATCATCTTTTCTTGTGCTGGGCTTGGTGGCACATGCCTATAATCCTAGCACTTGGCTGCAAGTTCAGGGCCAGCCTGGACTATGTAGCAATACCATGTCTCAAAAAGAAACAAAAGGGCCAGGGATTTAGCTTAGTGGTCTGTCACCTGCCTTGCAAGCACAAGGACCCGAGTTCAATCCCTGGTACCAAAAAAAGAAAAAAAAAATCACCTTCCCTCATCATACAGATGGATATTTTCTTTTGTTTTTTTTTTTGTTGTTGTTGTTGTTGTTTGAGACAGGGTCTCACTATGTAGTTAAAACTGAACTGGAACTCACTATGTAGCCCAGGTTGGTCTCTAACTCATCTAACTCACAGCAATCCTCCTGCCTTAGCCTCCCGAGTGCTGGGATTATAGGCGTGCACTGACACGCCCGGCCAGATGAATATTTTCTGAATGGGATATTTTTTGTGACTGGAGTCTATCAGTAGAATATAAATTATTAGATATTTTCCCTTTCTCCACTCACCAGATTTCTCTAGTAAGGATAACAGTTTTGGAAAGAAAGATTAACTCTAGCTAATAAACATGGTAGGGTTATTCCTTTGCCCACTATAGTTCTGTGGACTGATCAGTGAGCCATATTCTGTAGGGCTACAACCATGGATAAGACAGATGTCATCTTCTAACAGGTTTAGTTTTATTTTGTTTTGTTTTTGTACTGGGAATTGAACTCAGCTCCTTGCTCGGCAGGCACTGGAACCACTGAGTTAAATCCCCACCCATCTGCTAACAGTTTAATGTCTGAAAAATACAGACATTAAATTAATTCAGAGATCCAAGTGTGGTGGGCCGCATCAGTAATCCCAGCACTGAGGGAAGCTGAAAGCCAAGGCTTTGCCAAAGCATGTGCTGTACTCCTGAGCTACATTCTAGCCCTTTTTCAGAATTTTATTTTAAGACAGTCTTTTTTTTTGTTTGTTTTTTTGTTTGTTTGTTTGTTTTTTGTGGTACCAGGGATCAAACTCAGGACCTTGGCACTTGCAAGGCAGGCAGGGTGCCACTGAACTAAATCCCCATCCCTAAGACAATTTTTTTTTAAGACAGTCTTCTTTCAGGCTGGGATTTGGCTCAGTGGTTCCGCTGCCTGCCTCTCAAGCAAAAGGGCCCAAGTTCAATCTCCAGTACCAAAAAAAAGTCTGCTTTGAGATAGGATTCTGTTATGTTATTTAGGGTGGACTTGAATTTGCCATCTTCTTGCTTCAGCCTCCCAGAATGTTGTGATTATAAGCATAATGCCACTGTACCCGGCTCATACTGAGTGTTTTGAAGGAGAAGTGAGAAATTAACATTAGAACAGTATTAGAGGTACTTACCAGTGTTTTTATTTTGGATCCCAATTTTTTGTTTCATGGTATTTTAAAAGCTAGTATCATGATAAATCTTATCTTGTAAATATAGGTGTTAAAATTCCATGTCTCAGCCAGGCGTGGTGGCGCAGGCCTGTAATCCCAGCACTGGGGAAGCTGAGGCAGGAGGATCACTGTGAGTTCGAGACCACCCTGGGCTACATAGTGAGTTCCAGGTCAGTCTCAACTAACACAGTGAGACCCTATCTCAAAAAAAAAAAAAAAAACAAAAAACAAAAATTCTATGTCTCTAGATTTTCCAGAGCAGTTGTTCTTTTTTTTTTTATGCACTAATTATATAACCTGAGTTCTCTGATTCAGAAGCCTGGCAATTTTGCCTTCAGTAGGGAAGAATTAAGATTTTAAGGCTTCAACCTTTTTTGTTTTTATTTGTTTGTTCATTTTGATACTGGGGATCAAACTCAGGACCTCTCACTTGTGAGACAGGTGGCAGCACCACTGAGCTAAATACCTGGTCCTTTGACCTTTTCTTTGTGGTACACATAGGGGAGGTATAAAGTGCTTTAAGACCTTGGTAATGCTACAGTGTCTCACACCTCTGCTTGTGGAACTCTGTATTTCAGCCTCTTGACCTGTGTATGTAATGTTGAAATAAGGCCCCTCTGCCTTTAATAGAGAACAAAAATATGAGATTGGAACATACGGAAATATGAGTGGCAAGCCTCTGATGTATTCAGTTGTCTTTTTCTGGAACAATAGCACTTAAATTTCTGTACAAGCCAAGCATGGTAGCACATGCCTATGTTTGCATCCCTTGGGAGGCTGAGTTAGGAGAATTGCCACAGGTCGGAGGTTGGTTTAGGCACATCGGGTGTTCAAGGTCAGCCTGAAGTACATAGCAAGATCCTGTTTTAAAAGAAAGGAGTTTTGGGGCCAGGGATTTAGCTCAGTGGTACTGTGCCTGCCTTGCAAGTGCAAGGTCCCGAGTTCGATCTCCTATACTGCAAAAAAAAAAGAAAGAAATTTCTGTATTCACTGAAATAAGTATCTACTTGCCCATGCATTTTCTTTGTATATCTTCAGAATTGCACTAGGAAGGGACTTTGAAAGTAACAGAACTGGCTCTCAGACTCTTCAGGCATTAAAGCAGTCCATTTGGTAATCTTTACAAAGATTTGGTAATGGTGGTGATAGTGGTGCTTTTTTTGAGTTAGGATCTTACTGTAGACCTGCCTTGACATCTGTTTGAATATCTCTACTTTGGAAGACCTCATTGTCAGCCACAACAATGTAGGACATAGGTTGGAAATTTTCTTGGTTCACAGCACCGTAATGTCTCAGGGTGAGGGAGGACGATCATGAGTTCAAGGCCAGCCTGGGCTACATAGTAAGTGCAAGATCAGCCTAGACTAGTGAAACCCTGTATCAAAGAAACACCAAAAAAAGGTGCTAAGAACTGGGCATGGTGGCACACACCTGTAGCCCCAGCACTTGAGAGGCCGAGGCAGGAGGATCTTGAGAGTTCAAAACCAGCCTGGGCTACCTAGTGAGTTCAAGGCCAACCTGAATGACATAGTGAGACCCTGTCTCAAAAAGAAAAAAAAAGGGGCCAGGGATTTAGCTCAGTGGTTCTGCCACCTGCCTCCCAAGTGTAAATAGTCCTAATTTTGATCCCTGGTACCAAAAAAAAAGGTAATGAGTCAACTAAAATCATACTCGGGGCAGGCGGTAAACCAAAATTCGATCTCTGGTACAAAAAAAAAAAAAAAAAAAAAAACCTAAAAATTAAAAAAGGAAAAAAAAATTAGAACCCAGTAAACAAGCTGTTTCCTCCAGAAGAATAATCAGGCTGGTTCTAGAGGAGGCTCTGACCTTGGACCTGAGTTGGTTTTGGATAGTAGTTGGTCTAGAGACTTTTTTTTTTTTTTTTTGTATTGGGGATCAAACTGAGGACCTTGCGCTTGCTAGGCAGGCACAGTACAACTGAGCTAAATCCCTGGCCCCCTAGAGGCATTCTGAAGGAACCCCTAGGGCCCCGAGCATAATTTAAAAGTTCTTGGTATGATGGATTTTAAGGAGCTGTGCAAGGTGGCACATGCCTATAATTCTCACTACTCCGGGAGGCTGAGGTGGGAGGATTGCAAATTCAAGCCCAGCCTGGGCAACTTAGCAAATTATTGAGACCCTGTCTCAAAATTTAAAATGGGTTGAGGTTGTAGCTCAGTGTGAGGATTCAACCCATAGTATCACCAGAGGTGTGGGGTGGGGGGAGAAAGGGCTTTCCAGCCATATAGTTGTGGGCTGAAATGTCTGGCTGTATGAACTCAGGTATTGTGTAATTGCTGAACTTCCTCTTTTTTTTTTTTTTTTTTTGAGACAGGGTCTCACTGTAGTTGAGACTGACCTGGAACTCACTATGTAGCCCAGGCTGGTCTCCAACTCACAGCAATCCTCCTGCCTCGAGTGCTGGGATTACAGGTGTGAGCCACCACTCCCGGCTCCATTTTCTTATCTGTAAAATAAAAAGAGTTCTATCTTACAGGGTTATTATGAAGATTAGAACATAATTTGAGCCCGACTCTGGAGGGTGAGGCAGGAAGAACCTAAGTTCAAGGCCAGCCTGGGAATTTAGCAAAACCCTATCTCAATATAAAAAGGGCTGGGGATGTAGCTTAGTGGTAGAGCATCCCTAGGTTTGTTCCATGATACCAAAAAAGAAAATAAGGATAATAATTGAGGCTGCTTATGATGGCACATGCCAGTAATCCTAACACTCAGAAGGCCGAGGAAGAGGACTATCGTGAGTTCAAGGCTAGCATGGGCTTCATAGTTCAAGGCCAGCCTGGGCTACATAGCAAGACCCTGCCGCCCCAAAGGAAGAAAGAAAATAACTGTATAAAATACCCTCCAATAAATAGTGATTAATTTCATGAAGCCAGAGGAACAGGATACTTACAAACCAATTACATGCTCAGATCTCAGATGCTAATAATTAAAGGGATGGTCATGAGGCTTTTTAATCCAGTGACATCTGGGGCTATGTCTCACCATTGTTAAGTATTTTGCCACAGGGTGAATTTATTTCTGTAATCCCAGCATTTGGAAGGCTAGTGCAGGAGGATCATTGTGAGTGGCGCCACTGAGCTAAATCCCCGGCCCTTTTCGAGTCGTGTGTGTGTGTGTGTGTGTGTGTGTGTGTGTGTGTGTGTGAGAGAGAGAGAGAGAGAGAGAGACAGTGAGAGAGTGTGTGTCTGTGGGTGTGTGGTGATGGTGATGGTGTTTTAAGACAGGGTCTTACTATGTAATTCAGTCTGGCTAGCCCCAGTGAGCCCTCTGAGCCTTCCAAGGACTGGGATTACATGTGTGCCATCACACCCAGCACAAGAAATATTTTGTAAAGAGAAGTGAAAATATGGATTGATTGGGGCTGGGGATTTGGCTCAGTGTTTCTGCCACCTGTGTTGCAGATGGTGATGGTGTTTTAAGACAGGGTCTTACTATGTAATTCAGTCTGGCTAGCCCCAGTGAGCCCTCTGAGCCTTCCAAGGACTGGGATTACATGTGTGCCATCACACCCAGCACAAGAAATATTTTGTAAAGAGAAGTGAAAATATGGATTGATTGGGGCTGGGGATTTGGCTCAGTGTTTCTGCCACCTGTGTTGCAAGTGCAAGGTCCTGAGTTCAATCCCTGGTACCACC